GTAGAGTGAGAGGAGAGAGGAGGTGCCAGTCCTCCCCTGCCGCAGTCCTGCTGCGCGGGCAGCCCCGAGGCAGCGGGCTTCCACCGGGCACCGCTCCCCGCGTCCCCCGCGCTGCCCAGGGTCTGCCCGGCGTGGGGTGCACCTGGGCAGGCAGGCAGAAACGGCGTCTCAGGAAATCCTGGTGGTTCGGAAATCCTTGGCTTATGCTGTGCTTTGGTTGGCCACCAGAAAGACCGTTTTTTGTTTTTAGGGTTGTTGTTTTTTTTTTTAAACTTCCAGCAGGTAATTGCTGAGCCTGGCTGAGCTCAGGCAAGTTGCTGGCTGCCAGCAGTAGCTGGTAGAAAGGATGGACTGACTGCTAGCGGGTTTGGCTTCCGCCCGCAGTGTCAGATTAAAGATGCACCTACCATTTTTTTGTTCTTCTGTCAGCTGCTCAACCTGTAATTAAAATACGGAGACCCATTAATTTTTATACATCACCACCACTTATGGCTTTAAAAAGAGATATTTGTTCAGCAGTCTTTTGAAAGATTAACTAATCCCCACAACAGGCACCCTCATGGACTACAGGAGACATGATCAGGGAGGTTTTGATACAGCAGCACCTTATAGTCTAAAAAAATTCTTCCTCTTAAAAACTATTTCCTGTTCTTCTGAAGAGAGCATCACTTTACAAGAGTGGCAGCATCAGATGTGCAGCACTAGTAGCCTTGGCACAAATGGAGAGGACCAACTGGAAAAAAGCGTTTGTCCTTTTCAACCCTTCCTTTGGGAATAATTTTCTGCTGCCGGGAGGCTTCAAAGTGGGACGGCTGTGCCATTGAGGGGGCTCGGGCTCAGGCCAGGGCCAGGTCAGAGGTGGGAGATGCTGGCAAGGTCCCTGAGAAGCAAGACACAGATAAGACCTTCCCCAATAGCTGTTTTTAGCCCTAGATTCAAGAAACGTCCTGAACTACCTAAACCATTAAGAGCTTGTCTACTTCTGTCAGAATTCAGCTTTTATAATGCATAAGACTTCTGTCACTGAAGGGGGCTGCTATTCCCTCTGGCCTGTTTTAGACGTTGCCCCGAATGTCCAGCATCCATGGCAACTCTTTGGCCCCGCGCATGCGGTGCAAGTGAAATGGGGTCCTTGGGGTGAAATGGGAACGCGCCACGGAGATACCTATCGCTGCATTGCAACAAGAAATACCCATGATGGGCAAAAGGCATTTCCCTGCACCATTGTGCTGGAAAATGGAGATAAAACTAGGTAGATGAGAAGAGCTAGAAGAGGAGAAAGCAAGGAAGCTCTGTTTTCACAGTCTGATGGAAAAAGCGTGCCACCATCTCCAACAAATGCCTGGCAGAGCTGGCTCTGTGCCCTGAGTGCAGCAGCGGGTACCCCAGCAGTGCCCGCCCCAGTGCAGGGGGGGCTGTGCCCATATTGGCACCTCTTCCCCAGGGAATCACTGGCTCCATGGGTCTGGCTGGATCCAAACTCTGCGTGGCCCTGACCTGGGCTCTGTGTTTGCGCGCTCCTTGTCCTGCTCTACAGCCAGATGCGACTTCCCTGGAAAGCCTGCCACATGCGCACGCAGAGCCGGCTGTAGAGCAGAAGCGTTAGCTGAAATGAGTGGGCAGATAGTTTCCACATCCTACCCCGTTTTATTCCCTGCAAGTGATCAGTGGGAGCTTATTAGTTAACACGAATTAATGAAAATAATCAATGAGAAGAGCGAAGAAGAATCCATGGGACCTACACTCTGCTTCTTCTCTTTAAGTGTTTCTCTTTGGCTTCGTTCCTTCCTAGAAGTACTGCTTATCTAACATTACTGACTTCACCATCGTATCCAACTGTCCCTTCAGCAACATCCATTAAAACATTGCCTTCTTCCCTCCCAAGCTGGCCAACGAGACCCTCTGCAGTTGGCCAGATGCTACCCCTGTGCCAGGTGGCTCCTATGTGATTTAGCTTAGAGGGCTCTGTCTCTGGCCCCTCTCTCAAATCATCTGATATCTCTGTCCTGTGCAGTGAGTATCTGCAGGGACCCTGTTAGCTTCCTCCTTACTATAGCTATCGGCTACAGTCCTTACCTGCTGCTCCCCTGATCTCCATGTCCATTGTGAACCATACCCAGACAACTATCCCCCTGTGTGTTTTGGTCGGGCCCTGACACAGCTTTATCAAAAACCCCCAACACCAAGTTGCAGCACCTCCTCTCTGCGTGGAGGCTGATGTTCTTGCCCCAAAGGGTAATTGCTTTGTAAAAGGCAGCTGGAAAGCCACCCTGGCAGCCTGCAGCAAGATGTAGGTAAAGGGCATTTGCTCAGCAGGACAGAGGACAAGCACTTGTAGGGCGAAGCGAGCAGGGCGCCTCGTCCAGAGCCTGCTTGGCTACAGCTCAGCTCCACGCGCTTGTGAAGATACGGACTATAGGAGGTGAGTCCTTTCAGGTCAGAAAGAGATAACAATAGCAGCAGGATTGCTCTTCAGCATTGCACGGTGCAACCCGAGCCGGTCCTGGCCCAGCCGCCCCTGAAGGCAGGCAGGCAGCTGCTGGCCGTCAGGGCTATTGTGCAGACGGGAAAGGAGGAGAGCTGGGAGCCCCACGGCAGGCGCAGCGCTCCCCAAGCGAATGTCTGCGGCCACCGTCATGCCACTCGTGTAACTCGACCCTTTTGGTGCATTCACTATTTATAAACCCTGGTGAGAGAGGTGCTGAAGATAAAGATGAGCTTTCTGATTGTTCCCGGGAGTAGAAAGGCTTTGTTATTTATTCTTGCAGCCCTTTATCTGGACACTTGTCCCTGGCACTGTTCTTAGTGCTGCTTAACAGAGCTTTAAAAGGTTCCCAGAATAGCTTTGTGTTTCTATAGCCTTATCTAGACATGAATAGGCAAGATGAAAATCCATTGGATTCTGTGGCCGCATGGAGCGAATTTGGCACAAACTCATTCAATTCTAAACGGTTATTAATAAATGTCCTCAACAAGCAGAAAATGAAATACTCCCTTCCAAAGCTTGACTAGGGCATTTTGGATATCTGGAGAATTACAGGCGTGGGACTAAACTGTACGTAAATTTTAAATGCAAGGTAGCTATAGAGAGATACATGCATTGCAGAGGGATTTCAGTTGAGTAGTTCACAGTGTCCACTGGACATAGATGCTCTGCTTTATTCCTCTTTTCCCTCCGCATCGTGTTTCAGGGAGAGGTTTTCCCTGTTGTGGTACTGGAAAGCAAGCACTGAGCCCGCAGCACTGGGATGTCTGTGATAATGCTAACTCTGTCATAGTTTCTACTTTGCTTTTTTCCAGCTTTGTTCTTCATTTCTTGTTTCCATTTGAAGTTAGGTGGGGAAAGTTTAAGGTCTTGAAATTTTTTCCAGCTGAATGTCTTCTTACAATTAAAGCCTTGGGGGACAGATTCAAGAACTCAGCCATACCGGGGCTGGAGTTGTTTCGCCCCTGTACAGGTGCCAGCCGCCAAAGCCCAGGACTTGAGCTGCACGTTTACCTGTTGTAGCGTTGTCACGGTTCACAACAGCAGGGTGTCTGCCTGGGTGCCCTGGCCTTCAGACGGGCAGCAAAATCCTTATGGGACTCAATCAGGTATTTTGCACAGCTCATTTCTGTGTTTAAGGACTAGGTGTTTGGGATAAGCTTTTGGTAACTAACTGAGGCAGGAAGTTTTTGGTTGCTCTTACGCTGGAGCTCCTTTTTTTGGCTAAATTCCTCCGTAGTCTAACTCCACCGAAGTCCACAGACTTTGACTAGGAGTGACCTTGGCCCGTGGAGCTTTGCCCATATGTATCCCATTTATGGGCCAGAGATATGGAGAGAGGCTGGAGCGTCTGTGCGGGGAAACCTTTCTTTTGGGGCCGGGAGGCTGCGACGCAGCCTGCGCTGGACAGTGCATTCCTCCGGCTGACGGACAGACCCATTTGGCTAATTGTTAGCATTGCTGGCTTGCAAAGCTCTTCAGCCTTTCTTCCCAGCTATGTGCATGAGGTGCCTAAACAATATGGAAAGGACCCGTTCCTTGAGTCGCAGAGAATATGTTTAATTAAAAAGATTAGTTATAGAGGCCTGGATTTTCTTGAATTTTATAGGTCATATTTTCTTCCTTTTCTGCAGTGGTTGTTAGGGGAACTCTACTCCTAACTGCACAGCCTTTCCTGATTCTTTTTTCGCTGAAAACATCCAAATCATTTTGGGTTTTCAATCTCACAAGGTTCTAGGTTAGACCAAGAGGACAGGAGAGCTAATTGTGTGAGCATTTTGTTGTTCTCTTCAGTTACATTTCAAGCAAGCTCTTCCTTCCCTCTAAAAGATCTTGGAATTAAAATAGCACTTGTACGATGTATTTTTTGTGCCCTTAGTTAAAAATCAAGGCTGATCAACTATATATAAAAAAAAAAAAAAGTCACCAGGAAACCCTTATAATGTATTTCAACTCCAGTTATGCACGGGACAGAGTAGCAATTCCTATAATTCAGAATCTATTTTCATCCTTATTCCACCCGCATATCACGGTCTGTTTAAGTGTCTTTATTAGAGACCAAATAGTTTGAACTTGCCCAGTAAGAATAACACACAGCCGTATAATTTAAAATAGCGCTTAGGGTGCCTCTGCGTTCTCAGAGAGCATATCTTACATTCGTAATTCCTGTACCGCAGATAGCAGGGGCTGGGAGTGGTGAAGCAGATGCGGAGGCTTGGAAATGCCTTACACAAGCTGAGAGCTTTTTAAATCCCACCAAAAAAACATTCAGTTATGGAAGGGGAAAACTTAGCAATGGCGAAATGTTAAAGCACCAGAAGCAGGACGGTGAATTTTAACCCCCGCGAATGGTCTTCGTGCCATGGGAAGTGCTGCTGTGCTCTGCGCTGGCTAAGACCAGCAGCCACCCCCTTGCCCTCCAAGGTTTTGCTGAGATTTTTTTAACTGCACTTAGGGACCGTGTCGCTGTCTCAGAGCAGGGAGCCAGGGCCGAGACTGCAAACCATTTAGCAGCACGGTCGAGACCTTCACGCTTACAAGAGGAGCGTGAAAAGCGTCACAACTGTCAGCGCTAAAAGTCTGCGTGCTGGAGGAAAATGTTGTCTGAAAGGCGCCACCCTGTAATAACTTCTTGTGCGCCTTTCTCCGTCGCGTTAACTCTGACGGCATGGGAACCAGCGCGCCGGCTTCGGGGCATCAGCAACAAGGTCCGTAAAAACTGCCCAAAATCCCCCCCTCCCCGAAACACAAGCCCCAGCGAAGGCATCGCTTACCGCTGCCTTGTAGATGTCATCCATGGTGGGGGAGCGCGGGCGCGGAGCCGGGCGGGCGGCACGCTCTGGCCCCTCTGCCCCCGCGGCCCCGCTGATATAGCGGC